TTTTGGTGGGTGTAGCTTGGGGGGGGGTGTCATGTGACGGAGTGTACGTGAGTGACGTCAAGTTGGCCATGCCCACTCATTCACATGCCCCCTCCACCTAGCCATGGCCACCGAACCGGTAGTAATTTTTTTTGAAACCCACCCCTGATCTCTACCCAGAAGACACTTTGGCTTCTCTACTCACAAGGTCATATGAAGGAACTCATTTGTTTCTGGCTTCCAGATGCCACGCAGCAATTGCTCAAAGTTGGACATCAAGGCAACTCCAGAACCTACGAACAGAAAGACAGTAAACACACTTGTAAACACACCAGCGACGAGAATGTGGGCAAGTGGAATTCCATTTTCCTAAGCTCACTGGTAATTCCTGTCAAAGTAGGTAATCTAACAAAGGAGGAAAATATTGAGCTCCTTTAAGGAAATGGCAATTTTACTGACTATTATGACTAATAAAAGCGATGCCCATTTCTAAGTTTATTATTTAAAAATTGAAAATATGAAATAGCGATGCCACAGCCCCTGCCTTAAGTTTATAGAAGTTTGATTGTTCTATTTTCTGATTGCTTTGAATTAGACAAAGAAAAACAGTACAGAAAAATGTAAAAACAAACATTTGGAATTTGCAGTGTTTTGAAGCCAAACGGGCTTGAAACCTCACAGGATTTTAGTGTGATGTAGGCTGCTTCAATCATTTTGGAAACACAGCAGGTTAAAAGCACCTCTGTTCCCAGATCGCAACCAGAATAATCAAAACAATTGTACCCCCAAAGAATGACTTTGAACTCAGAACAGGGCAATTCAAATTATTTGAATTTGGAACGCAAGTTTTGTTCAGTGTCTTAAAGCTTTGGCCATGGCTTGATGATAGAGCACTAATTTTTCATTTGAAAGATCTCAGGCCTGATCTTGATATTTCTAGCTAAAATAAGATACCAGAGAGAAGCTACCAGTCACAAGAGAAAGTATTGAAGGACAAAGAATCTGATCAGATTTAAAGTAATTCTCTATAACTAAAATGTCCTTGCGGCAGAAGCATTCCACTCCAGATTAGTAGGGAAGAGTTAACTTGGTGGAATTTATAGCCTGATAGATGAAATCACTTATTAGCAGAAAAGAACATGATTTCTTCCTTCTTGGTTCAATTTCTACATCAGGAGGGAATGTGTATGAGTGGTAACAGATGCTTCAGTCATGAACCTTTGTGTGATCTCTATAATTTCTGTATCTAGCAGCCTGAGGAGAGTTCCACTAGAAATACTCCCTTTGCCTATGTAGAATAGAACAGAATAATAATAGAGTTGGAAAGGAGCTTGAAGGTCTTCTAATCCAATCTCTTGCTCAAGACCCTACACCATCCCGGACAAATGGTTGTCCAATATTTTCTTGAAAGCCCGCAGTGATGGAGCACCACAACTTCTGAAGGCAAGCCATTCCAACAGTGATTAATTGTTCACACTGTCAATTTTCACTGATTAATAATGTAAGATGGGTGGGGCTATACCAGGTATGTGAACAGGGCCAAGATAT